TATAGAATCAAAAGGGGAAGAATTTTTTTAGTTATATCTGATGTTGCCTCCATGTTTGATAATTGAACAACCACATCACCCGAATGCTCATCGATCAGTTTTAATAGATAAATCGTATTCGGGTAAGCTCTCAGCTTATAGAAAAAAGTGCTCCATCATCAATTGAAAGAGTGAGTGATTCTGAAATTATAACTAAATGAAGTGAAAGACATGATCTCAACCCAGGCAAAAACTAAAGCCCATGCCTTAGCAACTTCCAGGATAGGTTAATGATGAGAGTTTCATCGAAGAGACAATAACCGAAATATCTTGCATTAAATTGAACTAACAAGCCAAAAAAAGTGAACTAGTATAAATAACAGAACATTGGATTGTACCGTGAGCCAGGAAAAAATGTTTTGGGACTCGGTGATTTGTGCACAACAATTTGTAGGTGAAAAATTGCAAATTACCCTATAACATGGGTCTATCTCTCAGTGCTTAATTAAGACTCAATGTTGATTTTTCCTAGGGTTAATCAACAGCCATGTGGGCAAAAAATTCCAAAAATTAAAGTCAGGCCTATAGCTTGAAAAAAACTAAAGAAGGTCAACCATGTTTGTTTCCTTAACATATGAGGACAACACTTTCTTCAAATTCTTGTTGATTGCCTGGTAAAAAAAAGAAAAAAGTAAAAGACCAAATTTATTTCCTTATTGACCATGATGGATGCTATAACATTGCCGGCCTCCATTATAAAGTCCTTTGACAAGAAACATGCAAACTACCTAACAAATTAGTACAAATGAAGAGCCTAATTTTTCAGTTCCAATAAACCACCATATTTCTTATTCGTCTCAAGAAATGTTGTTGAGACATTTTTTTACCATATTCTATCTTTAAGGATAGATAACCACACGAAAGCACCGATTGCAGCGAATACTCATTTTCTCTCGTTAGAAGGCAGAGAATGACATCTAAGACTGTCGGAGCCATAGTGCTAAAAGGGAAGAGAAAAACATTTAACTGTGAGTTCTAAAAATTAAACAATGCCTTCACTATGTCAAGTTTTATAACAAAAAACATAGCACACATTGTTATTATCTCATAAATCTCCCACTCATTCCTCTTATGCCCAAATACCAGTTCTACCCTTTCTACCCATTTATCATAACCTAATATGGGACAAGTGATTCAAAGAAACCAGCGGAAAAAATTTCCAAATTGAACCAAAAGTAGGTCAAGGGGATTATACATTCTCCAAGTTGGTATCCCTTCTTTGTTTTGATATAAATGCTTTATGGTGCAAGGGAAATTAGTTTGAAATGAACATCCCCCAAGGATTTTATAGAAGTCGATGGCGGTTTTGTAGCCAACATCCTCAAGAGGTGAACACGAGAAGAAGTCGAATGTTTCCTTTGGAAGACCAAAGAGTCATTGCTATCATTGGCTCCCCTTGTATGAGTGGTAGGATTTTTGGGAGGAATTGGAAAATACCCGGATGGCAACATAGGAAATTTTAAGGAAGGGCACTGGTTGTGGCCTCAACGGTACAATCAAACTCGAAAAGGTGCTAATTAAACCTAGAATGAAGTCTAGGTCTTTGGAGTCTTCTAACCTAGGCAGAGGTGTCCGATGGTGCGGTGACAAAAGTTGGACGCAACAATGACCAGACATTTGATTTGTGATACACAAAGAATAAAAATTCCAATGAGATTTAGAGCAACTGAACAATGGGCAAAACACACGAGACCCGGTGATGGCAAAACGGAGGCTTGACAGAGATGAAGTGGGATGAAGTGGAATTGAAAAAGTATGGTTTCAGGGAGTTTTGTGTAAGAGAAAGAAAAAAAAGGGGTTTAGAAATTTGATTTCAGATTAAGCATACACGAGAGGCCTTCAACGGTGCGGTACAAGAAGAAATATTATACAAGCGGGAATAATCGTTGATTGCAAGATATCCAGTGTATTGACCTAAAGCTTCGATTATGTATAAGTTTGATTTTAAAATTTTAGATTATTTAACCTTAATGATACTTTTGGGGGAAGTATATTTTGTTATCCCAAAATTATTTTTGGGATAAAATTAATAAATTTAGGACTCCAATTTAGGCTTATAAGGAAGTCCAATAAATGTGACCCAGTGAGATGGGGTGATAGCCTAAGATGAGAAAAGGCCATCGACCTAGAAGAACAACCTAACCTGAGTTTTATGTAATTTAGATGTCTTGGCTTATAGGACCAGTCAAAATTAGAGGGTTGATCGGGTAGTCCCAAAGTGAGTCATAATGCAGCATACAAACCTTTTTTGTTGAGGAGAGTTGGGATCTGTGGCCATTCCCCAGAATATTTAACATTTCTTGAATTTTTATTGTTTTTTTTTTCATCATCGCAATTTTCAGTTACAAAAATTTTATCATACTCCCAACAATTCATAGTAGTGTTCTTGCTTTCTTTTACTTCACATTGCCATCAATTCAATTCTCTAATTTTAATTCGATTCAACTTAGTTCTTTGATCCGACACATGTATGGATCCTTTCATGAAAAAACCAAAGAAAAAACTTATCGACTTTTGACTGACTCAACTCGCTAAGTCGTTGAAATGAGTTTGAGCGATAACAATATACGTATTTATAGGTTGCTACTCATATCCTCCTACCAAATAATTCATCTCCATTTACATATTTTATTTTGATAAAATAATTGAACATAAAAAATAACATGACTATAATATAAAACACACGTTTCTCTCTCTCTCTCTCTATAAATATTTATATATTTTTTACTACAAAAATACTCCTATTTCTTTAAAATCACCAAAAGTATGGTTTAATTTAAATTTGTGATCTCATCTATTCTTTAATATATTTATTAATCCAAGCTGTATATATATATCTTTTAGTCAAAGAGATGCATACTAAATATATATGTCTGCTACTATATAAGAAATAAGAGGCTAACATTCAATTGAAGTCTTATTGTGCGGTTCGAAAGAGAATTGGTGAACAAGCCCAAAGAACCGGCGACCCAAGGTTAAAAGATGAAGTTTAAGGTAAGCAGGCCCATACGGATGGATACGGTGGAAGCATGAGATGTATAATGAACAATCATTGACATCATAACCCATTGGTAGTAATTGCAATATAAATAGAGGTTCAATACGATATTAAAAGAGCTGAGAATTAGATAAGATGTATTGTTGATGAATTTAATGCATGTGGAATGTTTTCAGTCGTTATGTAAGAGATTAGATGCTCATGGGTCAGATTGTTCGATGATGAGCTATAAAGCACGTCAATTACATGAAGTTGGAGTTATGAGAAGTTTTGGATAATAATGGGCTTTAATGAACAAGAAAGAATGATGCTTGTGAGAGACGACAAGGAAAAAAAGGTCTCTCACCAACACAACTCTACCAGCTTTTTATCTTTATTTTCCAGTATTTTTATATCTTAGTATTTTAATTTTCCACACATTTATCTGCTTACTTTACAATTTTTATTTTGATTTTTCTTGTATTTTTTCTCTCAGTTTCAATGAAAATTTATTTTTAAACCTTTTTATTTTTATTCCCATCGGTGGATTTTCCACTAAGGTCCATTTCCGCAGATACAAAATATCAACTAGGGGCTTTCTGGATTATCCCAGAGAACCCTTGGCAGTTCTCCAACCGGTCACATCAAGTTGTTGTGAGACTCAGGATATACGGATTTCTGTATACAACACTTATTCTTTTATATAGTCATTTTAAATTAAACTTCTTAAAGCAATCGTGTTATCAATACTCACCTAGTGTATTGATGCAGTTATATAACAAAAATATATTCACTTAAAATTACAATACAACCATTCTAATAATTGTTCAAATTCATCAAGTTGGGAGCCTTTATTTGCTTTATAAAGAACCTATAATTTGATTTTTCATGTGGCACCAAATCATTTTATCAAAAAAATATAAACTAAAGTTCATAAATCACATTCATATAACATATATTTGACCAATTTATTTCTCATTAAAAGAAAAAACTTAATTTAATAATGTATGAATTTTAGTATACAAACAAACATTTTCTTCTTGGCATCTCGCCCATGGCCTCTTGTACTATGACCACCACGACTATTTCTTTGTCTATGAGATTTATTAGACCAGAATGATTTGTTGCCTTAATAGATGTCTTCTTCCTTGGGGATTTCTCTAGTATCTCTTCACTCATTCTCTCATTCCACTATCTATGATTTTTGAGTGACACATCATGCTCGTCCATGGTTCAAGTGTCAATTTCCTTCGATGTCATACATAATGTTGTCCAAACTATCTGAGAGAAAGTATATGATATTCTCCACTGATCAAGTTTTGGTCAAATTCTCTCCATTTCACTTTAGTTAATTTACCATGGTTTGTACATGAATGATGTAATCAAACACAATTTTTGAATCCTTCATCTTCATGCTTTCCAACTCACTGCAAAATGCTTAAAGGCACACTTATTTCATTTTTTCATCCTATAAAAAGATGTTTATCTAATTTACCCCATGCATCGAGGATTTTTCATTAGCTATCTTTTTAAAATTGGATTCATCAAGATTTTGAAAAAATATAGGCCGAACATGTCCTATGCTTCATGTGAATTTCTATTAGTGTCATTAACTAATTCTTTGGTAACATACCCAGGCTTGTTGTTCTACAAAACTACCAAGTAATACTCACATCTAAATACTCTAACTTTGTAATTTGATTTTGTCATCCGTGGAAATATTAATTTTGTCGTATCCTATCTCTGATACCAATTTGATAAACGAATTACTCTACCAAATCTAAAAAAAACTATATTTGAGAATAATATAATTTGATATCATAATTCTATTAATCTAAACAAGACACGCATATCTTAAATGAAATCAAGAAAATATAGTTGTAGATATTAGATTGAAAAAGTAAGTGCTAATTAAAAAAAAAGTATTTTAGATACTTAGCATCCACTGCATTCACTCCATCTTCTAGTTTTCCACTCCCACTATTATAAATGAACATTACATGTGCATTATGGGAATTCCATAATGCATTGATTGAAAGCATGAACCACCTTAAAGTTTGGATAGTGATATGTAATGCAAGAGTACTCTGGAAGAAGTCGAATGTATTCATATGGGAAGAAGCCAAATGTGCCATGAGTGAGACATTTGGTCATGGGGAGGTGCTTGAGAACAATTGGGTCAAATGGACGAGGTATGACTCTGGGGCCGCCGTGAGACATAAAGACACAGTTGAGCTTCTCCGAGGAATGATTTTGAAAGAGTGGGTAGGAATAGTCTCTTGGGGGTGCAGGAGTCCGCGGAACTTCTACCATAGCTTTAAGAATTAGATTTTTGGTGAGGTAAGGAATATTAAAGATTACTTGGGGCTCAACATCCAAACGTTCATTAGTAAGAGTTAGGGTTGACTCTAAACCGCCCATCTTATTGGTGGTGGAAAGATCAGTAGGCTTCAAAAAAGCATTTCCAGACCTACAAAAAGAAGAAGAAATTAATAATATAATTTATTTCAACAAAATATGAATCGAAATTATATATTTTGATACATTGAATGATCTAATAATATAATTTATTTTAACCAAATGTGAATCGAAATTATATATTTTGATACATTGAATGATCTCATCATACATGTATTTAGTTTCTTTTTATTTCATTAATAGGACATATTATATAATTTGAAAGGATCTAAATAGAATTTTTTTCAAATGACTATAAAATAGCATATACAGAAAACCAAAGAAATATCAAGATTTTAATATTATAGAAAAGATAAATAAATACATAAATAAATACATCCAATGTAGATGTGCATCATTACAAAATATTGATAATAACAAAAAATACCGTCAAACCCTAATTTTAAAGGCCAACAAACTTTCAGCCTTTCACTCATATAAAAATAAAAATCCTAAAACTCAAAGTTCTTGCAAAAAACATTAACTTTTGCATTTATAGAAAGACCCTTATTTTTATTCGCGATAGCATAAACAAAAGGTCACCATTAAAAGTAATGGATAAAGATACAAATAAATAAATAAAAAAATATGCGGATTAATAAAGAGGACCTTGAGAAGATTTGAGTGAAGAACGCCATTAGAACAAAACTCTTTCGCTTGATGAAATACAAACTCCTCGCAAGCTTTTGTATAAAGTTGCGCTTTTGGAACTCTCTTTATATAGAAAACCAGGCTCCTCGCTCTAAAATTATTGGATAATTTTTTAAATTAAAAAATAAAAATAAATAAAGAAAGGAATCTTTTTTAAATTTAATAATTAAAATCAGTTACACTAAAAGTCATAATAAATATTGTCTTATTAAGTGAGAAGGTAAATGATAGACTTGATTCACATGGTTCATGTGAAGGTATCAAATAAATTCACTTACGATAAACTTTGTAATTATGAATTTTTATTATTATTTTATTTTATTAATTATGTTGAGTTGTATCCGGTCTGTGTCTATGTGTGCTTAGATAATAAAACCTATCTGCTATTAGTACAAATTCTTGAATTCTACATATATTAATCAATATGATATTTTGATGTGAATTATTATTTGAATATTCTTGTTGATTTAAGGGTGTTGAATTTGTATTTTTAAATGTATGTGGTTTTTTTTGTTATGTATTAGAAATCACGTCGTTGATATAAAAAAAATAAAATAATATTTTAGATTGAATTATTAACTTTTTGTGAGTTGATAGCGTATTTATATTATATATATTGTGTGAGTGTGTGTATATATTGTATTTTTTGATAATATTTTATCAGAAATGTTATCACCCAATAAATATTGTGTAAACACACTTCTTGTTCCTTATGTATTTTTTTTTTTAATTTTATTATGTAGTCTCATTGTATTCAATAAATACACTTATTTTCTAGATAAACACCATGTAAAATTACTATCTTACCTAAAAAACAACAATAATAAAAATCTACAAAATACAAAAGAAATACACCCTTTATATAACTAAAAAATATTGCACTGTCAAAGGGTTCTTTTTTTACTATACTTTTTCAATGATTACCGATATACAAAAAACTTGTCTAAAATTCATTTTATACAAATATGATAATAATAAGTGTATGCACGTCGGAATTAATATAAATAGATCTGAGCAATGAAGAAGCTTTTTAGTAGAATTAAGTTAATTATTGAAGGTGAATATGAGTTCAGATTGGCATCCACGTGGTATTCAAATAACTATGGTTGATAGTTAAAAGGCACATAAATTGGACAAAGAAAAAAAAAAAAATTGAACACAAAATTTGTTTACTCAATTCAGCTTCCAATAGGGCTTACATCTAGGGGTTCCAACCCAGGTATTTTCATTAGAATCTAATCGGAGTGAGTAAATTACAAACACTAAAAATCTCCAATTAATTGACAGCATGAACACCCAACCATGCAACATAAGACATCAAATTTCCATTGCAGTGGAGATAATCTTCTCAAAGGCAAGACCACAAGGCCTGAACCTCAAATTTTTTATTAAGTTCCTGGACAATTTAATGGTTGTCTTCCTTCTCATTTTTCATATTGATCTCCTCCAGTCCTGAACAAAACCAAATGATCACTGTTATAATTCACCAAGGAAATCTAAATTTTGAATCCAATCAAAGAGATGAATTCTCTCAAGATTATCTCATTGAAACCATAGGTTCTTCACCCAAATAAAAATCTCTCAAGATTTATATATCTCAACCCATGAAAAACCAATAAAAGAAATCAATTTCATCCACAATCTCAATTTCTTTCAAGTGGTATCATAGATAACATCACATTATCTTCAAATCTTTGCCAAATTTCTCTAATATTCTATCCATCAGTTTCTTAACAAGGTTCAAAAATTCCTTAATTATCAAATCATATATCTTTTCTCTATCCAAAATAATCAAATCATACTAGAATGACTTAATTCTTTAATCACACTATTATATCCAAAATTATACGAAACTTCAACTATATTGTCAACAACCCGTTAACTTTCTACGTATTTTCAAAACTAATTTCATTCCAGTTTAGTACTTTCTTTCAATCTATGAATTATCGAGTTATATTATTTTTTTATCTTTACAAAATTAATTTATGCAATTCTATTATGTTTTCAATGCATTTTTACTATAATTCTTTGTATGTCATCCCTTTCGATTCCTTTCTTATTCATCTTTAAAAATTCACACAAGATTGAGCTTTGATGCTTTTTTGAGTAGGCTACGGAATCCATCACAACAATTTTCTCACCGACCGCATCCAATTGGCCATCGAAGTCAAAATCCGAGTGAAAACAATGGCATGCCCAATAAGACACTAAAAATCTCTCTATTTCATATCCGTAGATGATCCAACAAATAAAGAATGGATGGCGAGCCTTTGAATGTCCTCCATGGTCAAATATGTTCAACGATTGAGCATGTTTTTGAGATTTCACGATTGATATCTTCCAATACATGGCTAACCTGATAAGGCCAATGTTTAATGACAAAATAACCTGGTTTATGAAAAACGAGACAACAAGAGCGGAAGTTTGTGTGATAGACTCAAATATAATCATAGAGGCCCCAAATATTCAAGTGCATGGATCAATCAGCCTTGACCATCCGATGTTTTCATCGTTGCAATGCGGTCATATCGTTATCATAAAGAAAGGGCAGAACTTTAGCATTCAAAATTCATGCCGACATTGCTTGAAGGAGCAAACCATTCGACTTAAGGGACATGAAGATGTTGGGGGCAGCGAGCAGCAGCCGCAGTGGCAGTGTAACCCAATATTCATACCTGCTGATCCATAGCCCATGGAAGTGGCTCTCCTGACTACTTAGCAGTTTACATCAGCACATGAAGAAGCAACCATGATGTGGGGGACAGCAAACAACCGCCCCTATTGCTCAACAATAATTGATAGTTACTGTCCTGACCACTCCGTAGTTCACATCAATGCAAAATAAGCAGCCAAGATGTTGGGGGCAGAAAGCAACCATTGTAGTGGCATCACAACTCAATGTTTATTCCTACTGCTCTTAAGTCCATGAAGGAAGCTAACCCAACAACTCAGCAGTTCGCGTCACTGTAGGAAGAAGTAGCCAAGATGTTGAGAGGGAGAGAACAACCACCGTAGTTGCAGTATAACCCAACTTCATCCCTACTGCCCCACAACCTGTAGAACTAGATGTTTTGGCAATCCTCATATGCAATTTTTCCCGGAGCAGAGTTTGATTGACACATGGAGTACCTGGCCGCCGTCGGCTCACCCAACTACTTTTTCGGCATTTGGGGTTGGGCCTACTTGATCAAAACCATACCAATACTGGGATACGGGTTGAAAGGCAGTTTTTCAGCCCGACAAGTGCTTTTTCTCAAGGGATATACAATTTTGCGGGCTTTACAGGTTCAACAAGCTACATCGTTTCCAATAGAATTTGGTGTGTGGTGTCACCAACAAATTTAACAGAGGACATGGCCGAGGGAACCAATCCTTGCAGCACGCACCAAGAGGTTGCCAAAAACTAGTATATCCTTAAACAGTGTATTTTTCTGCTCTACAAATGACGCAACTACCCAATTTTGACCTCCGGGTTCCCAAAGGCTTTCCGAGCTCTTCAGGGCTGCGAACCAACAAGACATCCTGCCAATCCCCCATCAAGCCTTCTAGAACTAACCATGAGGTGATTGCAGAGGTCATACATCAAGATTGTGGGAATTTGTTTTGCTTGCCTACACAACTTCCTAGCAACAATCATTCTCTGACAATATTGTGGAAGAACACTCTCTTTCGAAGGACGCTTATTTTTAGAAACACTACAAACCAATGTAATTTTTGCTCGAACATTTCCGCATCCACAACTCAACCCAAACCATTGTTCGGTTATGATTGGTTGTACCTACGTGTCGCTGACCCGTGTTATTGCTCCCTTGTTGGAAAACCTATGTGCCATATGTTATACAATGATGTAACAACCTCCTTATATGGCTGAGGGGCAGATGTACAATCCTGCGAGCCTGGTTCCACAAGGATTAGAGCTGTAAACGAGACGAATAGAGCCGAGCTTGTCATGTTTGAGCTCGGCTCGTGTTCGTTCGTTAAGAGATACAAGTTGAAATTATTTTTTGAGCTCAGCTCGTTTAATAATTTTTTGTTCGTGTTTGACTCTGTTGTTAAGAGAAATTTTATTTTATTTGTTTATTTTTTAAAAAAATTTAAATTTAGTTAATTATAATTATAATTTTTATTAATAAATTTAAATAAAAATAGAATGAAATATAATATTTATAAAGATATATATATTTATTAAATATAAAGTTATTAATTTAATTTTTCTAATAAATACTATTGAATGTTTGTGAACAAGCTCGAGCTCGTTCGTGAACATAACGAGCCAAAATTTATGTTCATGTTTGGCTCATTTAGCTTAACAAACGAGTTCTTAGCGAGCTCAAATGAGCCGAACCGAGCTGAGCTCGCGAACTGTTTGTTTGTTTTACAGCTCTAACAAGGATTGTATACTTTTGTGGGACTATGAGTCATGAAGAAAGTCGGAGTTCATCGCAACCTTCAAATCTACTTCCAAATGGGCTTAACACAATATCATTAACTCCCTCAATTAAATAAATTTTAATGAGGAGTAGCTCTCAAGGCCAATGTGAAGAAGGCATGCAATAACACATGTCCTCCGTCGGTTCTGATGTCATCGGTTGCATCACAAATCATTGCGGCCATGGTCAACGTATTTTCTCAACCACAACTCGCTACAAATCAGGATTCAACTATGATTTCAAGCTCTTGTGTGCCACCAGCTTGAAATTCTAAGTTTTCATCTGGTAATTAGTGGTTAAAGGCACATGTCATCACTGCCATCTGGTTTCATAGATAGGTGTAGTTTTATGGCTTTGATACTGCGACTGCACCTAGGTTTCAAAGTTTTGTGGGGCCATACCAACCATGTCGAGGCGGTTATGTCACAACATCCCTTAATGCTCATCAAATAAGGCTCAATAGAATATTATCATCTCTTTTAGTGCTAGGATATTTGGAGGGAAGCCACCCTCGAGGATTTTTCCAAGAAAGCACTTAAAGGCCCTCGATGTCGATGATCGGCACATGCCATCCGTCGATTCCAACATCGTCA